TGTGGAGAATTCTTCACCTAGAAGTTCCTCGAACAACAGCTAGAAATGAATTAGTGCTTACCACAGCCTGAGACTTCCCTTCCAGTACGGTGTCAGTTCTGTGGCTATCGAGTAGGACTCCACTAGTTTTGCCTGATGATGTGAGGCAGTGCACGATGCCCTAAACAGGATGGCAGTACAATAGTATTCGGAAATTTAAGCAGTTCAGTCCCATATACCTTGCTAAGCATAAGCGGTGCGTGAGCATAAGGGAGCTTGGTACTGCCAACGTAAATTACGGACTCATCTGAAATGGACTTTCTGATTATCGATTGGAGTTCGCGGCGCAACCGTGACGCATCCGCCCGCGGCTATACCAAAACACTCAACCTGGATAAAACAAAGGCGTAAACACAGACAAACAGATGCCAACCTTCTATAGGGCTTCGATTCAGCAAGTAGACGTAGATGTTGGAGTTGTCGTAGACAACAAATGTGTCTCGGTCGATAGTGAATGTTTCCCACAGTGCCGCTTTGTACTGCAAAAGTAACTCGATAAAAGTAACGTGGGGGGACAGGAGCCCTACCGCGTAGTGCGCTGTTACCCGATCACGAAAACATTATCTAGAAAGCCACAACAGCCTTCGGGAAACCGGTGACAGATAGGTGCCATGATGGGTACTGCCCTTCAAACCCATGGCAGAAACTCTTAATTCGGGTTCCAGAAACATTCCGCGGTAATGGGGTGGGCGGAGACTCATAATTATAGTGCCCGTCTCATTGGCGAGCCACTAGGTTCAGGCTACCGTATCAGAACAAGGGAGCATCATGTAAAACAGAATAGTTGTGGGTCCCCGCCCATCGGGCCATCGCGAAAGTGAATTAACAGAGCTAGTGATCATAGACTGGTCTCTTGAACATGGTAGAGTCTGGGAGGTGACTAAATAGCTCCTGCTGCATGAATAACACCCCCCCCCCGACATTTTCCCAAAGAAAAACTCACATGTATAGCAGAACCGACAGCCGGTAACTTGTGCATAGAGTCGTCCACAGGACTAAAAAAGAAGAAAATAGGTCCATTCCATTCCCTCTGAAAGCTCGCAGCTGAACTTACCTATAAACCCATGTTTGAGCCCTTTCGTCAAAAATGGCGACCCGCAGTCCCTCCTGATCGGGGCAAAGCTGTCGTATGGCAGTTGTATGCCGATATTCGCTCACCACACACCATTCTTCCAGCGAGAAGAAGACCAAGTAGTTGGACTGGCAGTTAAGTTCACTCAGTAACTGCCTTCCAAGGCCCTAATAAGATGCAGAGGCTCACCTCTGTACTGAAGACAAGAAAGTGATTTGAAAGCGCTGCCGCAAGTAGTCGAGAATTCCTTGCCGGTTCCGGGAAAGTCATGGCGGGTCCTGACTCGGAGTTGAGGATCTGTAAAGGGCACCTTCTAGATTATGATTAAAAGGACCGGTTATTGATCATATCGATTAGTACCTATGCAGAGATTAAGTTCAGAATTTGAAATCAATGAAGTGGAACCCACCCGATGAAGCCTAGCCTTGCCTTCCATCACCGCACAGATAAACTCGTCGTTTAATTTGATGTCGGTAACAGATGATAAATATTCACCCTCAGCCACGGGTTGCCCTTAAAGACACATAATACGACAATCGAATAGGCGGAGACCCATACCCATTGAGCTTTCCCTACTAATGCACCCCTTGCCTCTGACTTACGAAGGGTGCTTGGGTGTAATGGGGAGGGCGCACCAATAAGGGAATATTGAATAGGAAGTACGAATCTGTTTAGCTCAACGGGAGCGAAAAAAAAGTTTCTAGAACTTCTCCTAAAGAACTGGGACGGAGCCACTATACTATGGAAGCCAGGAGGAAACTAAAAGGGTGCGCGTAGGAGAGCGACCTTTCCAAGTCTCCCTCATGGAGGAAAGCGTTCCCTAATGAAGTAGTGAGAAAGCTAAGCAGAAAAAACCGGAATTGTCCAAGTGGGATCAGTTGGAAGATGCGCGCTAGGTAATCGAGCTACAGGATGCATAGCTAAACAGCTAAGTGAGCATGACATATCCTAATGCTGGT